CAGATTAGATTACATATTATATTATATAAATATAGTATATTCATTCTACCGGTTCTGTGTCTTTAGAGAACCCTGACTAATATACCTCCCTTGTGAAGCCCTCCCTGACTTTGGGAGCTGGAGCAGTTCTGATATTCCTGCTCTTCTTAGCACCTGAGCTGGATGGTGTTAGTTTTCAGCTTGAAACACCTGGATAGAGGGACCCTCAATTGAGGAACTTCCTTCATTGGATTGGCCTGTAGTTATCTCTGTGAGGCATTTTCTTGATTGTTGAGTGATGTCTGAAGGCCTGACCCACTGTGGATAATTCCACCCCTGGGCAGGTGGTTCTGCCAGCAGGCTGAGCAGGGGCCAGGGGAGCAAGTCAGTAAGCGGCGTTCCTCCATGTCGTGTGCTCCAGCTCCTGCCTCCAGGTTCCTGCCCTGAGTTCCTAACTTGGGCTCCCTCAGTGATGAACTTTGACATGGGAGATATAAGAAAAATAAACCCTTTCCTCCCCAAGTTGGTAGTGGTCAGAGTGTTTTGTCACAGCAATCGAAGAAACAAACTGTAACACTATTGTATTTGACTCATATAAATTCAATTGATATAAATCAGAAGAGGAAGTAAATATTTGCATTCATATGGAAACTTCCACAGGGAACCTATGCAAGATCCACCTTACTTACTAATAGAGAGGATTTCAGTGTGGATGCATCTTTGTGTTTAAAATGCATTGAATCTAGTAGCACTATGACTCAGTACATAAAGACATTTGCCTCATAAGTCTTATGACATTAATTTCAACCTCAGGATCTCCTGCAAGTTTTCATCTGGTCCTTCACACACACACTGTGGCACACCCCATCTGCACTGCACTCACACATGTCACACAAACACACACAATAAAAGTAAGAATAATAAGGTAAAAGTTTTCTAAAATACATGAAGTCAGTGGATACATTTGAAAATACATTAAATTTTTGTAATCAGTCATATGTTTAAGATCATTTCAGACAAAGATAGTTAGAAATAGACTTTCAGAAAAATCTCTTTACTCTTTTCAATAAGTCATTTTAGATAAAAGCCTAGCCCTTATATGGGAGAGAACCTTTGACATGACTGTCTGAGAATAAATTCCCATACCCCTCAGACTTTCTTGGAAAAATGTACCCTTGCATACAAGGAAACTCTTGTGCTTTCACTGTTTTACTCATATTAATACAGAGCATGAATACTCAAAGTTACAGAGACACTGAAACTCATCTCTGGATGGCTATTTGGAAGATGCTGAGGCATTAATAGCGCAAAAATGTACCTCATATAAAACCTAAATGAGAAATAAATCATGGAACAAGGGATCAAGTACATGAGTCTGCAAATAAATCTTAATTACCTGCAACTTTAAATGTTCTGGAGATTTTCAACCAGAAGAATTAATAAGGGAATCTTGGTATGTCTTGGAGCAATTCATAAAATCCTAAAAGCACACAGTTGTTAAAATTGTGTTTACTATGTATTCCATTTTTAGATTATCACTACTTTTTATTTATTATTTTTATTTTTTACGTATAAGTGTATTGCCTGCGTGTATGCAAGTGCACCTGTGTCGTGTAATGCCCACAGAGGTCAGAAGACTGTGTTGGATCCCCTGTTACTGATGGTTGATTGTTAGCTGCCATATAGGCGCTAGGAATCGAACCTGGGTCATATCCTCTGGAAGAGTAGCTAGTGCTCTTCACAGCTGAGACATCTCCCCAGCCCTATCATCATTACTTTGTTGAATGTCTTAATTCTTAGGTCACATTTCTGAATTGTGTAAATATTTAAAAATATAAGTATATATTTATACATTTACATAATATGATAGTAACAATCTTCTAATCTATCAAGACTCAGAATTGATATTGCTAAATGTAAATGTAAAATTGATGGTTGTAGTAAAAGTATAATTTTTAGGAATATTAAGAATTTGTGAAACATGTTCCCATTTTAAAATGTCCTTGATATGAAATGCTGTGCAGACTAAAATGGAAATGTATGATGAATTTGGTTTCTAAATGGTTTAGAGTGGTAGAGTCCTTGACTTCCAGTATCACCTCTAGAGAGATCGGGTTGCCAGTTCTGATTAGAAGAATGTGCCAGTTAGTATTTCCTCATTCACAAAGTACTGGGGCATCTACTCGCCTAAGATGGCCTGAGACTCTATCATGTACACCTATGACATTAACTATGTGGTTAGGTATAGATGGTCACACATATGCAAACCTGAGTATGCATATAACATGGTGAGGCAGCAGCTGGTGCTGAATCAGAAGGTGACTGGGTTCAGGGTGAACATCTCTATGCCTTCATGCAGCCTCAGGACCACTCAGTGTTATCTTTGCACATGAGCTAGCTGGACTTCCTCACAGCAGGGCAGCAGTACAGTCAGACATCACACACTGAGGGTCAGTGAGGATGCCGAAAGCCAGGCCGAAGCTCAGATACTACTGAGCCACTTCGTGACTAAGGATTTTCCTGATTTCAAAGGCCAACAAGTGACTCATTTCTCAGTGGGAGGAGTGTTGATGTCACATACAATAAGGACAGATGACATGGTAGGTATGGTTGCCCCTATGTGGAAAATGAGGAATGTATCAGCATGAATCCTCTATGTAAAATAATGAGGCTGAGAAGAAATTGATTTACCCGATTTACCCAAATTACTTCACTTCAGTAAAATACAGTACGTATAGTGTGTAAGAATCAATTAACATGCAGCATAAGTGAACCGAGAGAGTAACACATTGAAGAAATAGAAAATTTCAAATTAAAGACTCTTTGGAATTGGTGTATAATCAAATAGTCACCTAACCTCACTGGCTCTGGATGTGAAAGCTCAGTGCATACTGGGAAACATGTTTCTCACTTAGCTTCCTTTGATCATTTTATTTCCATGAACAGAGCAAAGACTGTTATTTCTTTTAAGCATTAATGGGACTGAGCTCAGTCGTGAGAATCATCTCTCTAGCACAGGCAGCCAACTCTTCATAGCTCTGGTGGCAAACAGCCACCCAGAAGAAAGACCATAGGTTCTGGCGTCTGATAAGAGAAAGAATTCTAAAATGCACTCCAATCCCCCTCCCTGAAATGGAAACCCTGAGCTATCCCCAGGGTGTGAGTGATTCAGGGCATAGCTTCTTTGATTATGCGCCATATTTACTTGTTCAGATGCAGTAAAAAAGAAACAGATGGCAACATCCTGAGCTGCTTAGTCAACTTGGACCACTGTAAACTAAGCCTTGAAAAAAGTTGGTCAATAAATAACAATGTTTATCTCAAATGATCAAACTCTAAAGATTGCTAAACTCAGATGATCAGTTAATATTTACTTCCTCTTTCAAATTTTTAATCTTCAGTAAATTAAATACTTAATCAGCCTCACTAATTTTTCATGTTCTGAGTCAAGTTCTATCCATCTTGCTCAGAGAAGAAGTTTTCTGAAGTCTCTAAGCTAGTATTTCAGAAACTGGTGCTACAGGAAGGCCCTCCCATAACCTGTTAGCGGATCCATCATGGTAGTTATCTCATTAATGAAAACTTCATTTGGTTAGAGAAATATCCACATCTTTGAAGAATTCATAAAGCCTATCAGCATACTGAAGACAGTGGACAGCGCTGACAGAAAGAAAACTGTTTATTAACTTTAGAAAAAATCTTATTGTTCCATGTGCCTCTTTATTTTTGTGCTTCATGGTGTTGCTGGAAAGCAGAGTACCTTTTGATTCTGGTACCTCTCCTCTATCCTACTCCCAGCCTCCTTTCTCTAAGCTTCACCCATCGATACTTGACTAATTTGCTATAACTGTTTGCTGAATCCAAGGGGCTGGGGAGATAGCTCAGTGGCAACGTGCTTGCCATGTATATATGAGCACCTGGATTTGATCCCAGAACTCAGGTTAAAAAAATATTAGATGTAGTGGCTGTTCACTTATAATCTCAGGAAAGGGAGGTAGACAGGAAGATCCCTGGGGCTCACTGGCCAGCCTGCCTAGCGTGCTTGCTGAGTTCCCTCCATGCTAGTGACAGATCCTGTCTCAAAAAGAAAAGCAACAATGTGGGTGGACAGCCTCTGAGAAATGATGATGCCCTAGGTAGTCCTCTGGCCTACATATACACCCACACATATCTGCATACACACACACATACACACACACACACACACACAAGGTGAAACCAGTATTACATGAACCCAAAGCAATAGTTTGGAAATGTAAATTTGTTTGTAGCAACTGAGAATCCCATGAGGGCATCCCCCCTTTAGAAATAGTCTCCCTATGTGCAACAATGGAGAAAAGCCATCAGTGAACTATGCTAGCACCATCTTGCTATTTATGCTTATAGGAGAAATCTCTTCACAAATAAAACATATTTAAGAGGGAATCCTGTAGTCTAGTGACTTGACCTGGGTTCATTACAGTGAGATAACGTTATTGATAAAGAACAAATTGGATTATGAGTAAGTCGATCTCTGTTGTGGAAACTAAATGTAACACCACATATATTTTAGCTCTTTTCTCCAATGGCACAATCTTACTTCAGACCTGAGGAATGGGGTTACCTTGCATTTAATAATTGTCTAGATATTCACACTGCCCTTAGGTTTGGTAGAACCTATGACAGGTAAGTAATACAGAAGCACGAAGGGGATGGAGTTTCAGCATCTCAATCAGGCATGTTACATGTCACGGAATGCTGTTCCCTTCAATTTTATTTTTGTAATATTATTTTAATAATACCTCCTATACCATATTACAAATACTACATTTTCATGAGCTCTATGAAGCTATTTCATTAACAAAGAGAAAATAATTGCCTGTGGTGTCAGATGATCTGTGATTCAATCTGTATTCCTTAAAGAACTTACCTGAGTGCATTAGGAAAGGCCCCAAGAGTCAGTACTGATGAACTAGGTTTCCTCAGCTGTGAAAAGAGGAACTCTCTCCAACTCCTGGCAGCCTCACAAGTCTGCAATTTTTTTCTAAGTGTTCTGAGAGCTCAGTCATTACTTACAGATCTTTAAAAAGGAAAAGTAAACGTTCTTTTAAATAAACTGAGCAGGATTTCTGGAAAGCATAAATTACTCACATGATGGCAATCTTCCAAGTAATCTTCTGCTTCTTAAACTCCTTTTTTTATCTTTCAGGTAGAAATTTCAGATGATTACATTATATAAAGCAACTAGCATCATAAATATCTCAAAAAACCAAAGAATCCACTTACAGTTCTGTTCCATGCAGTTCCTGCTGGGTTTTGCAAAAACTGACACTGCATCTTCGTAGAGCGACAAGATTGCTGAACAGAAAAATGGTATCATTTCCCGTTCTACTGTAAATATCAGAATAAATGTCCATTAGCTAATAGATATTTAATGCAAAGCAATATAATGTTAAATGGCTGCTTTATAGTCACATACATGGAATCCTTTCATTATTTTTCTTTCCTCCATTTCCAGTAAGAGTACTAAACTATATTTTTCTTGTATTTACATATGTAGTACTAATATACTTTATGGTTATCCCAACAAATAACAACAGAAAGTAGACATGACTGCATTAATTTCACCTCTGACAATGACTCTGTAACTTTTGTTTGTGAATATAAATATCATTTTTTATAAATGACAAATAATACCTTTATTCAAATATTCTCCCAAGTTTATTAGTGTTTTGTCTCCAGATGGAAGTGTAGCCAAGGACCCTTTGATCTTACCTGGAGACTGTGCAACATGTCCCATGTCAGTGTGCTCTGAAGTCAGCTCAGATTCTACAGGACAATTTTATGTGGTAAATGTGCCATAACATGTACCTAATGAAAGATGTGATAATTGATTGACAGACAAGAAAAGGAAGCAGGAAAATTGCAGTTTAGTAAAATAAAGTTTCACAGTCCTATAGCAACGTTAGTTTTCACATTGAAGAAAAGCTAAATGTGGGGCTCAATTACATACTAGTGCTGATATTAGTCATTTCCTCTCCATTAAAGTAACCCAAACCTTAACTTCCTATTTCAGTGTATAATCTGCTCCCACTAGCAAATTTCACATCTCAATTCTGTGTGTATGGGTTCCTCAAAATAAGAAAAGAAAAGAAAAAGAAAAAAGAAAATGTCAGGGTAAACCTGTACTTTCAGGGGAATCCTAACAAGTTCTAAGATGGAAAATGAACAGCTAACACCAGTGAACACTATCAATCAGAAGTTTCACTTTCAGCATGAAATTAAATCTCAATTAAATCTGCAGAGGCTGTGAAAGGAAAAGTGAAGTAAAAGTACATGTGTCTTCACAAAGAGAAACGACGTGAATTGAACTGCGTATGCACACACACACACACACACACACACACACACACACACACAGAGAGAGAGAGAGAGAGAGAGAGAGAGAGAGAGAGAGAGAGACCAACACACAAGCACACCAGACACAGAGATCCATGTGGAGA